TACCATTAACTACACAAATTTAACTAATCATATAAAAAGGTCGAAAACACTTGGGACTTCTTTTTTTGAAGTTTTCTCTCACCTCACTTTGAAGATGTCTCCCCTCATTAAGGCTCAAACTTAAGCAAATCCTTAAAACTCCTCGTTTCTTTAATTTATCTGAATCTAAAATTTATCTTTGGTACACCAATTCTTTTGACATGCAGTGTACTTGCCTAATTATGGCATGTATCTTTTTTTTTTTTTTTTTTTTTTTTTGNGGGGGGGGGGGTGGGCACACCTGCCTGCACTTCAAAGGGAAATTATGCCTCAATGTGCATGTGCGCTTAAAAAAGCATTGATTGACGGTTCAACACCTTTTTTGAACTCTATATTATAATTTTCCCATATTAATGAAATGTGTTTTTCTTAACCAAAAAAAAAAAAAAGATCACTGAACGTGAAAATGGTGAAAATGATGTCCAGAGGAACCAAATGATACTATATTAAGCATTCTGATATGAAACCTAATTCTTCTGATAGTTGATATAGAGAAATTTTGAAGAGAAACCAAAACAAAACCAATTACCTTCTTCTGTGTTCTGTCTCTATTTTGTAGCTTAAACATCTTTGAAGAAACAATGGCTACAATGAACAAAAAAGAAGGATTAGTATAATATGGGCCAAACAACACAAATATGACAATTGCATTTTATTTTCGATCAAAAACTCCCTCTGGATAAATGAACTAGAAAAGATGGAATGACATTTCAAAACTATCCAAACTTTCCATATCAATCTCAAGTTGTTCTTACGAGTCTTGTCTCATTATATATCATGTATTTTCTCCAATTTGGAGAGAGAGAAAAACAAGCTAAAATGTATTACATTTCTAATAGCACGACGTTGAAGAATGTTATAGAGTTCAACTGGCTTGCAGTAGAGTGAGAGGCTCTCTTCTGCAGCAATTTCCTCTTCTTCAGATAGATGAACACGAGATTCTACACGGCACATCTGATCTGCGTTTCTGGAACAGCTGGGAGAGCAACTAAAGATTACTAATATGCAACAACAGCAAAGTTAAAAGAAGAAAGAACAAGAACAACCACATAAAAAGGTAGACAGTCAGAAATCATGGAGGAAAATTTAAAATTCTCTCTTGAGGCATATGAACTTAAGCACTGAAGTTCTTCTACCACAATCACGACCCTCCCTGACACAAGAACTTCTCACAATAGTTTTTCCATATGTGTTGGTGATTGTACAAGCAACGAACTACGAAGTTACATGGTACATCCGGCCACAAGAAGTTATCAACTCTTACAGCTCATTTAAATCTCGAAAGTCAAAATATTTCTCAGAAGATACGATCCTTCCAGAAAAATCAAAGCTACAAACAAATCTTACTTCTATTACGTTTCATTAGAGAGCTCGAGGTTAACAAGACTGATGGAAATAAATAGCACGTACGAAGTTTCACGAGTCACGAGAGGTATGCCAGGCATTCTTCTCCAGCAATTTCAATTACAATCTCATGGCAACTCTAGACTTACAAGGCTTGACGCCCCCAACACATCCCCTTTACGCATCCGCTACAGAACACTGCAACATTTGAAACGAAGAAAGATAGAGCCTCAACACTAATTCAAATACCACTACACATTAACAACACAAGAACCCCCATAGCTGTTTCGCAACTCATTTCCATAAATTTTAGCTCAGATAAAGAGATACGAACTTCCTAAGGCTATGCAGGAGACGAATCGAAGTTTTCTCAACTTCAAGCGGTCGAGTTCCACCCAAAAAAAAAAAAAAAAAAATCATTCAATATGAAAATAGGAGAAGCTTAAACAATTAGAGTGTAGGAGCTCCAATTTTACAAAACGAGGAAAACCAAGTTCTCCAAATTTAACAAGCTCGAACTCTGAGGCCAAAGGCGCTTCAGCAACAAAATGAAACTACAGACAGAAAATTAAGCTGAAGATAGAAATGGAAATGCAGAAATAAGTAGAACAAGTGAAACTTAGCGAAATTAGCATCGAACCTGGTTCCATTCATAGTAAAAGCTTACCTACGGTAGCTCAGAGTTCTCGATGTTGCTCCTATGTCGGTTCAAGCACAGAGAGAGAGAGATCGATAAGATATAGAACGGTGATTACAACGAAAAATGGATCGAACTGACACTCACAGTCGCAGCACCAGCAAGGTAACCTTTGCCCTTTGGAGCCTGGAAGTTCTTTCGTTTTCCTTTAATTGCAAAAAGACCCTCGTAATTTTCATTTTTTCCAAATCACCCCAATTTTCTCTTCAAATTAAAAAATATCCCATAATTTTTTATTTTTCTTTTAGTTTAACTCCAAATAAATAATGAGTCATTTGGTGTGTTCGTTCGTGGTTAGAAATCTCAAGATCCTAATAAGCTTCTATATTATACTTAGAACTATCTCGAGAGGTGTTGTATATTGGGGCCGTTCCTCTCGTTAGATCTCTTAATGGTCAATCGAGCTTGACAAGATCTATCATGTTAGTACTAATATACAGAATTTGTGTGTTCGTGTCCTCCATAGACTATCTTAAATATTATCCAATCAAACTTGTCTCGTCGTTGTCGGTGCTGAATGAGTGGTGTCTTATATTCTTCTTTCTCCTGTGCTTTTTCTTGGGATCTCTTTCCTTAATCCTATATTTCCATATTTTATATTGTTTAACATTGACTTCGATGAGTAAAATTTCCATATTATATATTTCTTTAATATATTTTAAATGCTAACGAAGATGAGGGAACCCTAAGAGAGCCGCCGACTCCAACTACCGTCCATGTACGATCCATACTAGATCTGACCAACTACCCATCCTACCTCCTCTACGTTCTTGACAGCCCATCTTTGTCTCAGTAGAGTCTTTCAGTGGCATGTTTCGGTCCTCTTCCCCATTACTTAGAAAAAGTGAGCCACCGGTTCAGGTACAAGATACTATCATTACCGCCTGGACAATTAGACATCCACCCGTAATCGCAACGACCCAATTGCAAGAGCGGATAATTAAAATTTATAAAATATGTGATAATAAAAAATTTGAACTCCAACGAATAATAGTCATTTTCTTCTACGTTAATTTATTTCCCAAAAATTTAATATAAGTGTTTCAATATCTATAATTGTCAGGTTTGATACGAGATTTAGTATGTAATTTTGGTAATATAGACTGTAAACACATTTTTCTAAAATAAAAACATTTCACTTAATTCAATGCATCCAAATATGCATTTTTACATTAACTTCACAACCATGTTTGAATAAACTTAAAATTTAAATCGGTCTCGAACCAATGAAATGGAGTCTTGTGTATGTTTAGGCCTAGATTAATTGCAGATCGGCCAAGAGTACTATAGTCAACTTTTAGGTCACTCACTGATATATTATCAAGTAATTATTATTTAGATTTAGTCTGTTTTTTAGTCGTTGAATTTAATTTAAAAAACTAAAACTCGATAATTACATAATTTGTATTGGAGTGGATTATTATGAATATTTAAAGCTTTATAATATATTTGTTTATAATTAAATATTTAAAAAGTTAAAAGTATTTAATAATAATAATGTATAGCCTCTTAAATCATATTTGGGCGCGTTACCTTTATATTAAAAAAGGTTAAATATAAGATGAATATTTAAAAATATCTAACATGTTACTCTAATGTTAAGGTCGAGAAAATGCATTCATATACATGTACATACCGACGAGCCTTAATTTTTCATGACTGTTTTTTGGGTTCTATTCTATTTCTACTATGGTTATATGTAAATAATAGTTACCTACACACGGTCCATGCACATAGACACTAGGCAAGCTTGTTAACGTAATAATTGCACTGATTATTAGAGTCAATGCAAACTCACGTAGTTAATTTAAATATCATATCATAAATAATAACACACAAATAGCACAACACAGTACGTGATATTCATACATCGAACAACTTTAGTGTTCAACTTGGAGCTATTAAGTTCATCCTAGATTCACTTATGATATTGCATTCATTAAGAAAACCGAGCTTAATGTCCATTCATGGAGCGAGTACAACTTAGCAATCCTAAAATCAGTCTTACATAATGTTGAATATTATTAACTATCCAAATGGTAGCTATATTAATCTGGCGTTAATTCCATCATAAACGAATTTTAGACTGTTTAAATAAGTCAAATCAAGCTAACCGAGTCAACTGAACCAAACTACACCGAAATGAGCCATGAGCCATGGTTAGGGACACTCAAGGTCCATGACTGGCTTACTTCCTCTTATTTTAAATAAAAATAAAATAAAATAAAATAATCGAAGTGAGATTTAAAATTGGATTACCTTTCATATGATTTTTAGGATATAATTAACAATATCCAAATAGAGGAACAAATAAGAAAATAAAATAAAGATGAGATAAAATATTGGAAAAAAAGAATAATGAATTTAAATATATTTGACATAAATATCCTAATTCCAATATAGAAAGTGAATTTTGACGGAACCAAAAAATTTAAAAAAATGGAAAAAATTAAATAAAAAATTAGTTAAAATATAATTTTAATCATACTTTAACCTAACTAATTTCAAGTATTAAAATATAGTATTTATATTTTTTATAAAATTTTAAATGGATCATTGTATTAATTAATTGTTGACTTATATATAAAAAATAGTTTATATTAACTTTTATTTTAATAGAAACTAATTTGGAATATTAAAATGCGAAAAAATAAAATAAAATAAATCTCAAAATGGAAAATGAAAATAAGCCATAATCAAGTACAAGAGTCTCCACAAAAATCAATATATTGCCAGACACGTGGCGAATTTCATTGGTCAAAAGAGTCATGGCTCTATGAATCCAACGGCCGAAATTGCTCGGAAAATTAGACGAAAATTTAAGATAAGGGCAAAACCGTAGTTTCATAGAAGGAGAAAATGGTAATATCACCACGTGTTTCTTTTTTCTTTTTTTTTTTTTATAGAAAAAATTGATAGAAGGAGAGAGAGAGAGAGTTGTGGTTTATTGATGAATCGATGAGCAAATTTCTTCCAATTCAAATTCTCTTTCTCTTTCTCGCAGCAGTTTTTGATTGAGAGAGAGAGGAGGAGAAAAAAAAAAAAAGAAGGAAGAAGGAAACCAGCCTTAGGGTTACCAGTTTTCTCTTTGGTTGTTTGTTTCTCGGGAAAAATGGTGAGGGAATCGCCGAGAAAATGTTCCCATTGTGGATTGAATGGACATAATTCGCGAACATGCAGTAATTTTGCGAAGGGGAATAATAATAATAACTATTGTGTCAAATTGTTTGGAGTTAATTTGATGGATAATGGAGATGAATCTATGCGGAAGAGTCTCAGCATGGGGAATTTGAATATTCACGTATGTAATCACAACGCCGCTGCGGCCGGAAACAATGTCGCCTGTTATAATGCCGCCGTCGGTGACGAGGGTGGCTATCTTTCCGATGGCCTGATTCATAACAAGAAACGCAAAGCCGCTCTTGAGAGGAAGAAAGGTACGTAATCGTTTTTTTTCATTCAAGAAATTGCATCATAAATCCCTATGTATTCTGAGAAATTTGTGGAGAAAAAAGGAATATCAAAGCGTTTGTATTAAATTTTAAGCCTATTAGTTTGATTAGCGGAAATGAATCTAACTCAATCTTTGATAATACGTATTAGTAGAGATGTCGAATTCGGAGAATTGGTAGATTGTATAGAGTATAAGTTTTGTGAGATAATGCAGGAAAGCCATGGACTGAGGAGGAACATAGAACCTTTTTGGCTGGTTTGAAGAAGCTGGGGAAAGGGGATTGGAGAGGAATTTCAAAGAACTTTGTGACCACACGAACACCAACGCAAGTAGCTAGTCATGCCCAAAAGTACTTTTTGAGGAAGATGAATGCAAACGATAAGAAGAAACGCAGAGCCAGTCTTTTCGACATCCCGGAAATCAAAGTAATAATTTGTTTTCTCAACTGCTTCTTGACGTGTGTCTCGATCAACTTCCCAAATGATTTTAGCCATATTTGTTTTAAAACTTATAAACACCACTTCTATCGGTAAGTTTCTTTGTTTTATTATCTACTTTTTGTCGATACCAATCTATTTTTCGAACGAAAAACGACCCGAAACTTCAAAAACTAAACGTCGAAACTTAAATGGTTATCAAATAGGAGTTCTGCTGGAAAATTACTCTGAATATGCTTTTAACTGTTGTGTACATTGTGTTATGTTTATATATATATGTATAGAACAATGTTTCTCAAGAATGCCAAGCTTCATCATCTTCAATGAGGGCTAATGGAGAAACGTCACAAATTCTGCTGCCAAAGAACAGTTCTGAGAATCAACAACAGGTGAAATTCTCATCTCTTTGATCAATTTCTGTTTATAATCTGTAAGAAATGGGTGAATTCAGCTGTTTTTACTGTATATGAACATGGTTACAGGTCAGTAATTTACCAACACAGCTTATCAATCGATTCCCTCATCTTTGTTTGGATACTCCTCATTTCGTGCCTTCAACAACTGGATCACCAGCCTCTGGTGTTGCAAATTTGCATGGGATTCCTTATGTGGTAATTATTTTGTTCTAATCTCGGATTAAAAACTTTAGCGTTTCTTAGTCATAATAAAGAAATCGTGAGAAAATAAGCATAATGAATGGCCGCTCGTTGGTAAGGCGAGAGCTTCAAGCTTGATTTCTGGTAGCGCACCCCCACACACAAGCACCACCCAACGAAGGGCAGACGAACCTTCTTTCTAAATGGGGTGCCCAGAGCACCTCATGGTGAACCAAATATGAACATAACGAGACACGACGACTCGGTGTCTCGTACGTAAAACAGAACAAGTAAAGTAGGTGATGTAATGTAATGTTTGATTATGGTGACAGGTGGGAGTTTCCCCTAATAATGTTCCAATAATCCCTTTGGTGAACCTGGGAAGAAGATCATCAGCTGTTATGGCAATGCCGAAGAGCCCAATAAGGACAAGTAGTCCGAATGCAGCAGCGTTGGTAGCCCATCCATCTGGTATTCCTCCTTCTCCAAGGTCTTCCCCTCAAAGACCCTTGATGATGCAGTTGCAGGCGTCTGCCATGGCAGCCTCTTTTGAGACAGATGCTCTAGAGCTCAAGATTGGACTGCCCCAATCTCCACAGGCTAAGAACTTGTCTTCTCAAACTTCTGGAGCCATTAGAGTTATATGAACCAACAAGAAAAAAACAAAAATTAAAAATTAAAAAGAAATGTGAAATTTATCTTCTATAAGAAGGTTAATTAGAGTAAGAAAAAGTGTTAATTTTTTGAATGAGATGTTTGTTTTTGGCCTCCTCTCTATGCATGTAATAGGTAATAATTGATTTGTAAACCATATTCAATTCAATTTGATATTGTTTGCTTCAATCTTGTATGGATGAATTTTGCTTATAAGTGGTAGAGTAATTGACCATCCATAGATGAACACGGGTTGTTCACAAGAGCTTTAGCTCATTTTGTTGAGACATCAATTATCAATTTAAAGGTCGAAGATTTGATTTTAATTTTTTAATCATAATTGTTATGTTTAAAATCATTATATAATTTTCCTGATGAATTAAGTCTTTCTCAAATATTTTTTAAATTTTAATTCGACTCAAAATAGGAATAAAATTTTTTAATTTTTTTCTTCATTTTTACATTAATATTTATTTCAACATAGCTTGAATTTTAATATTTTGAATTAGAGTTACATGATGAAGAACCTTGAAGTTGTTGTTGTTATTATATATATATATATATATATATATATATATATATATATATATATATATATATAAATATATATATATTTTTGTTGAAAAGTGAATTTCATATAAAGTAAGAAAAATAATATATTGGATAAAAAGATTATGTTGAGTTAGGTAGCAAAGTATCGAGACTCAGTAGTTAATCAACAACGAAAGTTTCCTTCTTGCTCATAATTTATTTAATAGAAAATATCTTTTAAACAAATTCGATTTAAATAGGTTCATATATTATTTCTTGGATCGAAACATAAGAGTAATTATTAAAAAAAAAAAAAAAACTACTTTCACATTTTGATATCAAACTTTTACATTCGATCTCTAAACATGTCAAGTGTCTTAGCTACACATTTTCTTCGAGCATATTGATGAAAGCTTGGTTTCTTATTTAAAAAAAGTGTACGCAAGCTATTTTAACTCTATACTTAAATACCGTTCAAGATTTGTCGCATGTACGACAAAGTTCCCCGTCCTCAAACAAAGCCTTCTTGGCTCATACATAAACTTATATTGAATCTAAGATGGCTATGCAGGTGTTCCCAACTACTAATGTAATGCAACTAACCATCGATAGTGGCAGGTAGTATAAGCCTTGAGCCATTGAGATTAGAAAACTATGAAATGACCCATCAACACAAAAAAGAAGACAAATTTGAGCATTCTTAAGCTCTACCATTTGCTATCTAAAGTCAGAAACATAAAGCATCCAAGCATTCTCCAAACAAATATAATGAGGCAAATAAACTGAGAGATGGCTTGAACTATACCTCTAAAAGTTCCCTACACGGCAGCTTAAAACAGGTATTGGAAAGAAGAAAAAGGAAATACTACTGCTTTGATAATACAGAAAGGTATAGAGTGACAATTCAAGGTCTATTTGAAATGAATGGGATTTCAGATACTTTATAGAGAGAGATTTGATATTACGTGCACAATGCACACTTGCAATGGCAGAAACAACCAACTAAGAACAACATCCACCCTTCTGGTTGACGGGTTGCCCCTGTAGCTGCACCGTTGGTGGCCTCGCATTGTTCGCAGGCAGACTTGCCATCCTGGATGCAGAGCATGAAGATTAGTAATTGTTCAAGTGGTCTACAAAACGAAACTAAGTTGAAATATTTGGTTTTTTTTTTTTGTGTCATTGTATAACGACCCTAGATTGCTACTTAACCTAAAATCGCTACTGTATATAGTTTTAAATTATTATTTTCGTATAAAATGATATTGATATGTATACCATACATACTTTAGGTTAAGTAGAAATCTAGATTTAGGTTAAGTAGAAATCTAGATTCGTTACACATTCGATTGAAATTCTGCCCACAAGAGAGGGAGATATACCTATTTTTAATGTCAGCAGTCATGGCCATAAATGCCTGCTCTACATTGGTAGCATCTTTTGCACTTGTCTCCATAAATGGGATCCCAACCTCATCAGCAAAAGCCTACAAAAATGTGAGATCGTCAAAAGAATTTTACTCGGTTTCTCATGCCTCCGAGGCTTGCAGTAAAATTTAAGTCAACAAATCGCTTTTACCTTTGCTGATTCATAGGACACTACTTTATTAGGAAGATCACACTTATTGCCAACTAGAAGCTTGTTTACGTTTTCACTTGCATAACGGTCAATTTCGTTTAACCATTGCTTAACATTTTCAAAACTCTCCTGGTCTGTTACATCATAAACAATCTGAACCAACGAGGGAAACAAACTCAGAGTTCTGTGATTAGAGAAAAGTTGCTATACCGGAGCTATAATGCATAAAACTTACTATTATGCCATGTGCCCCGCGGTAGTAGCTACTAGTGATGGTCCTAAAACGCTCCTGTCCTGCAGTATCCCACTGAATACTCCAGAAGTCAGAAAAGAGGACTTGCAGAAAGCCTATGTATGTATGTGTGTGTCACAATATATATACGTGTGTGCGCACGTGTAGAGAGAAAGTCTCACAATTTGGAGTTTAATTGTCTTTCCATCCTGCTCCACGGTGCGTATTTTCTAGAACATCAAAATCCTTAAGTGATCAGAGCCCAGATACATAATTAAAACAGAACGGGTTTGAACTTCAAGGATCATAAAAGCTTACAAAATCAACTCCAATGGTACTAATATAACTATCCAGATATGAGTCATCCTGTATATAAGATACAAATGAAACCAATCAGTAGATGAAACTCCAAGAAAGCAACTATCTAAACAAGAAAAACCCTTGGCAAGTAGGCAATTTAATAACTGTCAAAATGGAAGAACAAGAAAGCAATTTCTTCAGTATCATGAGATGTCATGCCACAATTATCACAATAGTGAAAAAGATCAAGGAGCTATCGGATCCAAAACCTTCCACTACAATATATAATTCCCAACTCTCCATCTCTTGTTCGAAAAAGCTTTTGAAACTTTCTAATTCAAACATACATTTCATTTGCTTTGCCGCTTCGGATCTACGCAGTTCGAATGGATATATAACAAGCACTATGTGTCAACATTCAGTAATCCATAACATAATAATCTAGAGGTAATCAAAAATCAATTTTAATGAAGATGAAGCGTGTAACCTAAGAGTTACAAATGTTGAACAGACGATGATAGAGTAATGAATCTTACAGCAAATCTCAATAGAAGACATGATTTGCCAACTCCAGAGTCCCCAATAAGCAAGAGCTTGAACAAGTAGTCACTATCAGCGAAAACCAAATTAGAAAAACAAAAAAACTCAAATGTTACAAACACAATTACTTAAAAGTTACAATCATGAACATCCACAGCTTACGATGAAAATTTATCTGGGTATCTGTTTTACATTCTTAAGCAACTGATTTAATTAATAATCATTTGCTTGAATAAAATAAACTTAAAATAAATATCAAAGCAAGCAGTCGTCCAGTTCGACGAACAATGTTAATAATTCAAACACTGAAAAGGCAAATTAGTAAAAAGCAAACCAATAGGGACAAAGAGAATTGTAACTTATCAAATTTTCATTTATTTATAAAAAAATATATGATGCCTAATGCCTTCGCATCCAAGAGAACCAAAGTTCATATCCATACACAGAACAAAGAAAAAAAAATGTCATCCATGAAGAGGTCAAGTTGGAAATTTTCAGAAAAGGCAAAATTTTCATAGATAATCTCAACTCTAAAAATTTTGGGGAGACCAATTGGTGGAAAAACAATAGAATTTCAAGGGTATTATATATACGTTTTGAATTTAAAAGAAACTAAAAGGTAATTGGCCCCCTCCTATCTACATAAAATTCAATTCAATTCAATGGTTTGTCGACCAATCAAAAATAAGAACGCTCTGAATTCCGTTTTACTTAACCGAACAAGAGCTTTGAATTAGAAGATTCGATCAATCCAAAAACAATCGAATTCATCCACCTCAAGAGAAAATCGTTGATTACAAAGAAAAATGAGAATCACAGATCTAATCCTTAAATGGACAGAATATGTATATAAAAAAACAAGCATCAAACATAGGAGAAAGAAAAACTGAAACCTAGTTATTGAAACTATCCTAATGGATCATTGTCGCCAAACGAAACAAAACAAAACAAAATCAAAAGTTATTCACATACGGGAATCGCTTGAAAAAGATTCGATCAATAACGCGACTTACTACTCAGGATTCATGATTGTTGGTGGAATGCTGATCTAGAAAGGGGAAAAGCGCAACCGGATTAGAACCGGTCAAGGTAATTCAGACCGGTGGGCGATCCAAAGGGCAGAAACGAGAGAGACGAAAAGGAAGAGAGTGATGAAGTCGACGACAAAAGGCAGAAGATGAAATAAAGATTTGTAGAACTGAAGAACGAGAAAAATGTTTGAAATTCGCGTTTTTCACCACAGAATTTTCTGAAATTTCTTATTTTCCCTTAATTTCTAAATATTCGCATTTCAACCCCTTCACGGATGGGATTTGAAAATACAAATATTTTACTTTTTATGTGGACCTGTCATTCTGGGCCTAGTGGACCCTGGCCCAATCAACTGCGATGTTAACACTTCATTTAGTCAGTGCATTGCTCATCTTAAAAGGTGGCCGAAGGAAATAAGTGCTTCCAACAATATTAATAAATATATATAAGAGAAATTCTAAATATTAAGATCTAAATCTAACGATTTTAAAGAAGTGATATGGACAAACTCGTCGTTGTGAACACGGTGTACGCAGTGGTAAAGTAGTGATGAGATGGGTAAATTGGTAAGAAAATGATGCGATGAAATGATAGCATCATACAAAAGCCGACTCAGATATAAATCAACACGCTAGTAAGTACTACCTGAAAAGTTCCAAGATTTACCCACATTTGATCGTGTGATCTAGAGTTAGTATAGATAAAAATATAGTTTGGATATGTTGCAATAAAGATAAATTAAGGAAGTGATTGTTTTTGAAACGAAGTTTCAATAATTAAAAAGGTAAAGGCTAGACTTTGGACAACTTATTGCACCTTAATTTTCATGCGCTAAACAAACACACAAACAATGCATTCTAACGAAGTTGGGAGACGGACATGCATTGTTCTTCTAATGCTAGTGCCCCACACACAAGATTAGCTATACTTTTACGTCTTGGTCTTGTTAAATTACATTCACTCTTGCTTTCCTTGAGTATTTCCACACGTCTTAATCCTTCAAGTGACCAAAGCAATATTATTACTCCAGCTCGATCTTTCGACCGATGCATCGAAAGCCTCCAGCTCCTTCGGCTTCATTGACTGTGGACTACACTATCATTCCATCCTTCTGATATTTGAAAAAAAAAACATGAACATTTAGCCTTGAGGAATGGTGCTGAAAGACATAGGACAAAAAATCATCAAGAATTATGTAAACTAGATCAAAAAGTAATATGAAATGACTTGTTTCATAATGATCACAATTTTGCTATTAATTTAGTACAAATTTCACTATAGATAAGTATAATACTAATGGATTGAAAAGATAATACAAATACATGAACTCCAAATGTTTTTAAGAAGCAATTCTTCATCGAGTCAACAGCAGCAGTACCACTAAAAAAGGATGTTATACAATAACCATAACCATAAGCAAAGTGTATAAGTGATGTGCATTACCGTCGAAATGCATTGGCTTCAATATCAGATTTACCCTGTGAATAATACGTCCTACGACGAATACTCTCCTCGATTGTTGAGCTTCCTCCCTTCTCGGCACCATACATGCTTTTCTGAGCAGCGTCCAAGAAATTTTTGCTCGAGGGCACTGCTGCATTTTGTTTGGCTTCCAGTGCATCATCCTCAGCTGCCTGCTTCAAACGCCTCCATCTTTGCTCTTCATGTAACTCGGCATCCTGCTGCATCTCACGCAACCTAGCTGCACGCTCTTCTTCTGAAAGCTTTGTAGCAGGCCTACGGTGCTTATGGCGCGACTCATGAGGAGTTTCAGAAGCATTGGGTTCATAAGATCTCGATTCCCCCACTCTTCTGCTCACCTTTTCGTTGTTAGCATAAGAATCTCTCTCTCTCTTTGATCTGTCATGATGTCTCTCTGCAGAATCATGAGAATTGGTTTTGGATGACTTTAGATCTGACTGATCGTACGTCGTTTGTGCTGCATATTTCGAGCCTCTGTCATAGTTCCTCTCATTCTTATAATCATCTCTTCTCCTTCTATCTTCTGAATAAGAGTGATCATCATGTCTTGAACTCTTGTCACGATCATCTTTATGATCTCTCTCGTTCTTATAATCAGTTCTCCTCCTATCTTTGGAATAAAAATGATCATCATGTCTTGAACTCTTGTCACGATCGTCTTTATGATCCCTCTCATTCTTATAATCAGTTCTTCTATCTTCAGAATAAGAATGATCATCATGTCTTGAACTCTTGTCACGATCATCTTTATCATCTCTCTCATTCTTATAATCAGTTATCCTCCTATCTTCGGAATAAGAATTATCATCATGTTTTGAACTCTTGTCATGACCATGTTTCCTTCTCTGCCTCTCAGGGCTGGCATCTTCAGAATCATGATCTCGTTCTGGAGAAAAATGTTTAAATTTACTACGTCGGTGCTTCTTTCGATCTCTTTTGTGATCAGGATTCTTTTCCTTGTGTTTTTCCCCTTCAACCTATAAATATGTATGGAGAGAAAAAAAAAAAAAAAAAAAAAAAAAAAAACCCTCAAATCAATTCTTCAAATCAAACAAGGAAGGAAAAGAGCTTGCATGTAATCGCTCAAGCCCACCATTAGCCGATATTGTCCGTTTTAGCCTGTTATGTATCGCCGTCAGCCTCACAGTTTTAAAACGCGTCTGCTAGGGGAACGAATGCCAGCGAGGACGCTGGCCTCGAAAGGAAGTTGGTTGTGAGATCTCACATCGGTTGGAGAGGGGAATAAATTTTTTTTTATAAGGATGTGGAAACCTCTCCCTAGCATACGCATTTTAAAACTTTGAGGCTGACCGCAATATGTAATGGACAAAAGCAAACAATATCTATGAGTGGTGAGCTGATCTGTTACATTACACTACCAACAAGTGTCTATATACAAGCTAACATATAAGTTTAGAGAGTTTCACTGGACAAGAATGAATGGAAGAAGAATATTTCCATATAATTTCCACAGCCAATGCTTAATAGGATTGTAGGATTGTAGGATTGTTTTGCGATAAATGAGAAAATAAAACATCAGGGAAGAAAGAAAAATGGGAACTTACAGTCTTGCGAATCATAGCCATCTGAATAGGATTGTTTCTTACGCGTGCAAGAGCTTGTTGCTCACGTTGTCGAATGATAAGCAAAGGATCAGAATGAAGCTTCCTCCATGCGTCATTAGCAGAAGGAAGTTTATCCACAAAAAGAGCTCCTGGGACAGCGGCTTCCTGTAAAAACAACACAAAAATGCAACAAAATCATGATTGAGCACCGAAGACATAGCCAAAGTACACAAATTAACAGAACAGAGACAACGAGTAACAGTACCTTGGAACTAGATGGATCAGAGGAAGCCGCGGGAGTAGATGTACTCGGTAGGGTTTCGAGACTCTTAAATCCATCGGACTCGCTGGCTTTCCCGACTGCCAAACCCGATTCATAAAGAAAATCCAATCTCTCCTGCTTCCTGAAACGCCATATTGACCAAAATCCGAATATTAGCCAAATCGATCGAACAAATTAGACCCTAACCCTAATCCTAACCGAGGACACATTTTCAATCCTTATCTACTCAGAGATCCAATTGAATTTGAAACTCACAGACTACCTATAAAATATACAATTCGATCTGTAAACAACACGATAGAAGAAAGACAAAAGGAAAAACATACGGAACGAGGCCGGCCTGTTCTTGAAGAAGACGAAACTCTTGGCGCTCCTTCTCCTCATGGATCTGCTTACGGAGCTCTTCCAACTTCTTCTGCTCGGCCTCGTGCTTCTGCTCCGCCTTCCAGACGTTCTCTATGTTCCGGAGACTACCGGTGTGCCATCCTTTCTTGTTCAAGAACTTCAACGCCATGTCTCTAACCGAGTTTCACGTGGGAATCGGATTACTAGCCACAAGCGCTGTGGTTTTGTGAGGAAGAAGTTCGAGATTCAGATAGGGGAATCAGATCGTCCCCGTCGCTGCCGCCGCCTCTCCTAGCCCGCGAATTTTTCACCCACTAGTAATCTGAAAGAAACCCAACTGATATGCAGAAAATGATTAAATTATAGTTTAAATCGGACCAAATTTAAAGATTTTTTTTTTTATTTTTATTTTTTAAGTTTTAAAATATAAATTTTAGGTCAAATAATTTAGTGTTAAGTTATGTCCACGATTTATACCATTTTAATATATATATTAACATATTATTGGCATAAAATTCAAAAAATATTCCTAAAACCTAGTAGAAAACTCTTTATTTTTTTTAGGTAAATTCTAAATAAATAAATAAATAAGCAAGCCTTTTAAAATAAGATGTCATTTAATTTTTTTATTTTCATTATTCCAATATTTTTGAGTACTAGATATCTTTTCAAAATTTAAAAATATATATTCAATTTAGTCATAAATCCAAAAAATAAAAAAAAATAGAATTTTAATTACCTTATCCAATGTGTTTAAGAAATTAATTAACTATTAACAATAATTTTCATAATAGAAAATAAATTATTACAAATTATAAGACTAAAATACTATATTATATATGTATAATTAAGAGATTAAATTATTACTACCAAATTATTTCAAATCAAAATTTAAGCTAAATGGTAACTACCACCAAAAATAACCTTTAGCTAAAAAAAAAAAACTGTATCTAATTGTTGTTTTATATGCAAATTCAAAAAACCAATTTTGATTAAATTTTTGTGGCCTTATACATAGCATAATATTATCCTAAAATTATATAAGCTTAATTAATAAAAATTCATAAATTTTATATTTTATTTAAAAAAATATTCTTAAACTTTTAAAATTTTTAATATTATACTCGAGGTCAAAAATATTTTTGAATTTAAGAAGTTTTATTTAAATTTTTAAAAGAATTTAAAAATACTCTTAAAAAAAATATCCATGAAACTTTCCACAAAAATAAATTTATCTTATAAATTTTTTTCAAACATTATAATTTTTTTATAGTATTTTTAATAGACAATTATATATATATATATATATATATATATATATATTTTTTTTTTTTTTTTAAGTTTAAAAATATTTGTGAGGTTTTTTTTTTTTTTTTTTAATTAAAAGATACTATTAAATTTTTTAAAAGTTTAGAAGTGAATAGATCCAAATCTTTTAGTTCAAAAGAGTGTTCGTAATAAACATTCCATGCTACGGTACTATTGACAACGGCATGAGTAGCCGGTCGGACTCAATTAATAAAATTTAGTTGATTTAAAGTTTTGGCTTTTTGACCCCATATTGTAGGGTGGATTTCGAAAGATATGAAAGATCTCCCTCCAAGCCGTACATACGACTTTCATCGAATACGGCTTTCCACAGAATTCTATATGTATCTATGAGATCGAGTATGAAATTCTGTTTACTCACTTTAAATTGAGTATCCGTTTCCCTCCCTTTCCTGCTAGGATTGGAAATCCTGTATTTTACATTTCCATACGATTGAGTCCTTGGATTTCCGAAATAGTGTAAAAAGAGGTGCTTCGAATCATTATGTATTTCTAGTATTCAAAAACTTTTAGCTCGATCAACGATCTCATAAAAAACCTTCTATCTTATGGTACTATCTATCGAAAGTTTTATCGACAACATCAATACGAGTAGTAGGCAGTATCGTAATATTTGATACGAGGTTAATAGAGTCTCTTGATTTTGAGGGTAGAGGGAGTTGAGTCCAAGATTGGGAGAGCTTCGTTTTGGGCACCACCAAATTCCCTCTCGATTTCCCCCTCAACGTTCAATCCTTCAATTCTTGCTGCCATTGGATCCAATCTCATCCCCACATCTATTTCTGCACATTAAAAAAAAGCCAATTACAATAATAATAATTAAATTAAACCTAAATATATATATATGAATGAAATATTAATAATTTTTGTTCGATGATGAAAGTTCCACATCGGTTAATTTAGGGAATGGTCATGGGTTTATAATCTAAGAACACACTCTCCATTGGTATGAGGCCTTTTGGGGAAGCCCAAAGCAAAGCCATGAGAGCTTACGCTCAAAGTGAACAATATCATACCATTGTGGAGAGTCGTATTCGTCTAACAATTTTTTTTATCATATTTAAAAAAAAAAATATAAGTCAATTTTGAAAAAAAAAAAGAAAAAGAAAAAAAGTAGTTTATTATTATAAGAATTTAAATTGCTCGATACAATTTCTAAAAACTAAAAATAAATAGTTATTATTAATTTATTTTTTTCATTGAAATTTTGAAATATTGCTAAAAATAAATAACACTACAAATAAAAATATAAAAAATATATGCACATTTTAAAATTTTAAAATTTTAAGATATTAATATTATTTTGAAAGGTTTCATTTTATATATCAATAATAAAAATATTTTTTTAAAAGAAAATTGAAGGTATTTTTAAAGATTTTAAATGAATTTAAAAATATTAACAAAAATTTTAAAATATTTTTCAAAATCAGTTTTAAATTAGTTTATTTTTAAATTTTTTTCTAAAAGTTTAAAATATATTTTTTAATTTAGGAATGTTATGAAACTGTTTTAAATTTAAAATCATTATATAAATTTTTAAGTTTAATTTTTTTTAGATAAAAGGGAGAAAAATGGTATTTTTATTAATTTAGTTGGATGAGCGAAACAGGGAAATTTTATTTCATTTTCCCGGAAAAACCAATGGCGGGAAAGAAAGAAAGAATCGAAGGAGAATTCGAAATCTACCTGCGTTACATTACGATCTTCTCTTACCTGGATTGGAGAAGAACCACAGAAGAATGGCGCAGAGAACCAAGACGAGAGGAATCACATGAACAGCAGTTGCGGCGAACTTGACTCGCGCCTTCTCTCGCTTCACCATCTCCTCCGCTGGATAACTCGTCGGCTGCTCATTGCCGTCAAATGACGACGTTAATCGCAACGCCTGGCTTGGTGTCGATGACAGCGCAGGCGACGGGGAGGAGGACGAGTAGTATTCATCGGAGAATCGGTTCCAGCTCACCGATCGGTGCATTTTTTCTGTTTCTTTCAAATTCTGTTTCGCGATGAGATGAGAAGGAAATGGAGAGGCGGAGAGGCGGAGAGGCGGAGAAGCGAGACTGAAATGTGTGATGGTGCGCGTTGTATGCAGGAAACGGCAGGGAGAAAATGTAGCCGAAGCAAGAAGAATCGGCTTTTGAATTGGAACAAATCTGTTTGATGAATGACCTGACTGAAGGCCGAGCACATCGATTGGTAATTAACTTGACTTTTCTCGAATCTGACTTTGAAATGTGTGTTGGTGCGCTCGGTATGCTGGAAACGGCAGGGAGAAAATGTAGCCGAAGCAAGAAGAATCGGCTTGCGAATTGGAACAAATCTGTTTGATGAATGACCAGACTGAAGGCCGAGCACATCGATTGGTAATTAACTTGACTTTTCTCGAATCTGACTTTGTCTAAGTTTTACATTCGTTTACTTACAATAAAATTATATAATCCATACATGTAATCATATTGAAGAAATTCTCAAATGCTATCACCTATCTTTACTAAATATAAGAGGAAAATATGGATTCAATGCTGTTGATGCTTGTAGACTTGTTCTTTAATGAATAATTGTTTGTTTGGATTTGAATTCAAAATCAACCTTATTTCTGCTTAGTACTCGATTGAATCGAGTGAAATAATCAATACTGTGCGCACTTTGGACTACATTTATGATATAGATTAACTCATCTGAATTATTGCTGTACATTTTTTTATATGTAAGAAATCTATATTTCTTTTTTGTTCTTTCGAATTTTCATTTATCATCTCGTTTTATTTTTAGAATATTTCCTTTGAACTGTCTATAAGTGTATGCCATTACAAATAAATCTACAATTCATAAACGTTAAGTTATGCAGGCTAATTTTATTGTAATTATCATTACCTTCATAATTAGAAAAACTAAATTGAAACATCAGTTTAGCTATAACCTGAGCTTTATTCCTGGATTTTGATTGTATTGATGAAGCTCTTTCCTTCTGCAAGATCATTGCTGAAGAGAAATTTGAGAAAATCGTTGAAGTTGCTCTCTTTACATCTCTGTGGATTTTGTTCATCCACAAGCTCTTTTGCAGGCTTCGTTTTCTCGTCCATTCCCAAGCTGTGCAGACGGGCAAGGGTGGATTCACAGTGGCTCTTTGGAGTCCTTTGTTTGACATTCGAGGATTTTTGATATTGTCCATTTTGAGCATAAGTTCTCATGGCTTTGGTTTCCCAAGCTGTGCAGACGGGCAAGGGTGGAATCACAATCACAGTGGCTCTTTGGAGTTTGAGCATAAGGTCCATTTTGAGTATAAGTTCTGATGGCTTTGGTTTGGGTTTCCCAAAGGCCTCACTAATGGAGTTAGTATTCCTCACTTATAAACTCATGATCATTTTCTAAATTGTGAGACTTTCATCATCCAACATTTAATATATATATATATATATATCATTTTAAAGCTTGTGATTATTTTTTAAGTGTAATATTAGCAATAGTTTGTTTCTAGATGCATTTTTTAACTTCTTAAACAAATTTAATGTCAATCCAAATTTAAAAGTTTGAAGAATATTTTTAATGTTTTTTAAGCAAATTAACACAAAAAAAAAAAAAAAAAAAAAAAAAAAAAAAAAAAAAAAAAAAAAAAAAAAAAAAAAAAAAAAAAAAAAAAAAAAAAAAAAAAA